AAAAGTTGTCACAAGGGGTACTTTGATGCGCTGAACACGAAAATTACATCATATTTGGCAAGAAAGTTCATTACGCGTGCATGCGCTACGGGTGCCAGAGACGGTCAATTGCGGATGACGCACACAGTGATCGAGGACACTTCGCTAGCTCTTTCCACTTGTATGGTTGGCAGTCACTGATGGCTAAAATGATTTTAAATTTCGTCGGATAAAATTCTTAAAGGAATCTTGCGCGGAAAAATCATGATTCTATTTCAGCCATAAATCACTGGCTTGAGACTCATTATCCACGATAATAGTGAAAAGAACTGAAGTATTGCTTTCGTTTTGATTAGAAATTCGAAAACTCGAAAAGGCTGCTACGCGTTCGAATTGCCCACGGACGTCTTTCACGAATGCTGGCGACGGGGATGCTCAAACTTGGTTCTTGGAGTGCATTCACTAGAAGCTCTCTTCTGGCCTTCTGCTTCGTTGCATTCACATCTTACACTTCTACTCCATCCTATTCCATCGATCGATTTGTCTCCACTCTCCGAAATCGCGCGCTTTAACCCGATTCTCTCATTGCGTCGCCTGGTACGTAGCCGGCCAAACGCCGTCTTCTTTCCATGCCTCGCCTGGCTCTGCCTCCTGGTCCTTCGATGGTCCATAACGTGTAGTTTTTGTACGTTTGTTTCTCTTCAGAAACCGAATCTTCATGCGTGAAACTTTGTGTGCTATTTCCAGTGATCACAACTGACATATTCATGTTAGGAAAGAGTGCAAGAATTTTCCGCGCAAGATTCCTTTAACAATGTTTCCAAGAAAAGAAAAAGTAAGAACTCGAACTCGAGTCGATCCACGACCTCTTGTTCGTCGGCCCAGGCCGCTACCGCTGCACTATCTGGCTTCATAACTACGTTCAGAAAATCGTTTCGCAGATTTGGAGAGCAGATTCGAGATCAGCGTCAAAAAACACACCTAGTGATGTATGTCCCGTTACAAATGGCCACTTCGACCTGGTATCCTTCCCTTGTGTAACGAAGTTGGGCGGTAAAGGTATAAATTTGAAAGCTTCACAGATGTTTACCTGCAGGTTGAAGGCATATCTGGTTTCGCTTCAAGCAAAGCAGGTTGCACAAACTGAAATGTATTACACTTCCATGACTGGTGGAAGCCGGCTGGGTACAAGTTAGTTTTTTAATCCTCCCAAACAGGTCTGGTATAGATTATCCGACCCATGAGAGATGAAAGGCTTAGATGGCGACTATGCACGGCCAGTATTTGATCCCCGGGTATGCGTAAGGATAAGCGGCGCCTTTTTCCTTTACACCATTCTCGTCCGTTTTCTGTGTATCTTTCAAACTCAAGCGCGTATCGCGATACCTTCAATAAGTCGCCTAATACGTGGCCGCCCCAAGGCGTTTTTCTTTGCACGGGTTCCCTTGCCTCCGCCCACGTTCTATGAACCTACCTTCGGACGTCCATAGGACGTGGTTTTCGTACGTTTGTTTCGAAGATAGAATCTTATTGCGTGGAAACTCTGCAGTTGTCTCTATCTCTCACAACTGACATATTCATCATGGGAAAGAATGTAAGAAGTTTCCAGGAACAAGCCCTTCTATTCTCCTTCATTTTTTCTATTTTGTGGTAGAAGTACAATCTCGTAGATTTATCGATCACTATCATTTTACTGTTGCAGTTTTGACATCCGGCTGCATGGGAGCAATGTCACTCATCATATCGAAGACTCCTTGAGGTCATGGTGGCTTCAGTATAAGAAATACGGAAATGTCGATCCAAAAAACCGATACTCGGCAAGGCAACGCTACTATGCTTGGGCAAGTGTGAGTCTCAAGGAAGAATTATTTTTGGGATTGCGTCATGTTTTGCTGAGAGTGAGGGAAGCCATGCCTCACTGACTATTTTTGCGGTGCGATTCCATGAGAAAGCGATCTGAATATGGCTCAGTTTTTCCAGCGCACCATAAGATGTGCTTCGATTGGTGAGGTCACGCGCCACGCGAATAGGCCAATAGGGGCGCGGAGCGTGCCAGTGTGAAAGTCCAAGAAACGGCATGCCCGGTGTCAGACTTCGCCAATACAGCGATTTGCAGTAGCGAGTTCGCGGAGTCGCAAGTAGCGAATTCGTGTTCGCGAATTTGCTAGCGACTATCAATGAAGGGATGGAAGTGAGATTCGCCAGCGTTGCGGTTTATCTCCAGGGACGCTTACTATCACTGACTTCTCAAGGTGCTCTGAGAGCGTAATTTTTAACGGCGCCAGTCGGACCTAATGACACATATTGGTAAGGCGTGGGTCAATATGTAGTTATCAATGAAATGGAAGTGCTATTGTGTTAAAAGTTACATACTGAGTCTTTTCAAGTCGTTGGGTGTTTTTCGTCTATGAATTGTAAATTCTAGTCAAATTCACACCGTATTTTGACCGCACGAATGATAATATCTCATCAATGGGTTCCATAAGGCCGATGTCAGACTTTGCGAATCGCGCGATTCGCTAGCGTCTGCGGTCGCGTCGCGGCCAGTGAATCACTCAATTGGCTGGTACCGCAACGCGACCGCGGCGGATTCGCAAAGTATGAATATTGCTTGGCAAAGTGACATCACTGCTTTCACACCTGTGAGAGCCCCTGGTGACTGCCTGTAAACCATCACCGCTATCCAAGCAAATCAAAACTGACAGATCACGGAAGCCACCCGATACAGGTCAAGTTTAATGTTGCTTTGAGTCGGGATCTGAGTGATATACAGGACTGTTGAGACGAAAGTTGTGCTCGAATCGATCTGATGAATCTCGTCTCGACGTTTTGCCACAACACTGATAACCTCCGGAATTTCTCGAAAATTTAGAATATTCTTGTTATAGATGGCAAAGGGAAAAACCACTCGAGTTGGCTGCTCATATTCTCACTGTGACGGAAACCGGAGCAGAAAGCATTTTCTCTGTGCATTTACATATTGAACAAAGGTTGTTATTTGAGGGCGAAAATTATACTTGCGCGATACTGGTGACGGATATTCACACGACAGGGAATGATTGGTTGATTGTGTTGAAGGGGTAATAATAGGTCCCCTCCCCCCCCCTTTGGGCCGTATCCTATCCAAGTCTCCAAAGGATGCCCCCGGGTTCTGCCCTAAGCCTGGGAGAGACTGTTGCGTCATGGCCCCGCCATTGAATGCGTGTGTTTGTGCTTAGCTACTGCTCCCCTGTAGCAGGCTCTCCTTTTCATTAGGTCCGCGGTTGAGTTGAGGACCAAAGTACGGCTAGTACTACGCGTTACCTTGCGCTCCCCAACTTATCGAGTATAGAGAATCAGCGGTGCGGTGGACGCCGTCGCTTGAGGATTAGATATCGTGTCCCTGGTTTCGTGAGCAGGCAGTGAGCGAAAAATGAGATCATCAATTTTTTGACCTTACTAAACTGGCAGTGAGCTAAGGAAAAAAAAACAAGAGCCACTATTGTTGCTAAAACGCGCTAAACTTTCTTTTTTTATAGTCTAACCACACATTTGCTATCATGTAGGCGACAGGTAGAATGGAGCGTTAGCAATATCAAGTGAGTCCTCTACGCGTATCCAAGGAAACAAGGCCAAGAAAGTGCTCATTCTCCACGTACTACGATCGGGAGCGCAGTGTGGTTATACGAAGGATCTTAGCCGCGTCATTTTATGTATTCCTTATGAAGCGAGTATGAATTTTATAATATGTACTACCTTACCAGTAACATATGCAGTATACTTATCAGTACTTACCGATGAAGCCATTCACTTTAATGCAACTTGACTTAAGCCTTAGATATATAGAGGCTTCAAACTCTAATTCCTGAATGTGGCGAACTTAACTGGCAAATGACCTGCAAGAACTTGTGAGCCAGTTCAACGTTGGCTGACTCAGGCCTTACATATGCACGGTGCTAAGCGTCGGGCATTCAGAGTCTCGGAAGAGCGAATAGCTGCGTCTAAAAATCTGCGACTCCAACAGGAGGGATACTCAGGACCTACAGTGGAGAGCGAGAAGCACTATATAGCACCACTCCACGACGATTCTCGCAATGCTCGTACGCTTTGCAGGATTCATGTGAGACGTTTTAGTTCACCCGCTTCGATACCACAATCTCTCCTCTGCGGCAGGCTCATGACGCAGTTTTATTTTCCATATTTGTAATCAGCGTCTCAAGCTCTAACGATATTTTCAAGCCTTGATTCGAACTTCCATGGGAAATTGAAAGCCTTCACTGGTTAGTTCTCCTGCATCAATTCATGCTCATATATCTCCTGATCCAATAAGACCTTCTAAAGTTGGCAAATATAGATAATTGGAATAGTAGTTATTCACAATGTCCGTCATCACGTTGGCAAAGTTTTGGATGAAAGGTAAGTTTAGTCGTTTCAACGTTTAGATCCCGAAAGTGCCATGCCTTTGTGCCAGAGCCCATCATAGAGAGCGCAACCGATTACGACGCGGAAGACAGTCATGAGCAATGCTGAATGCTACATTTCCCTTCAGTCTGAGTGCTCACAGAGTTGGGGCTATGTAAATTACGAGAAAGGAAAACGGCTTAGAGAGACGTTTTCCCTTTTTCCGAGAATCTTCATTATCGTGAGAGCCGTTCTGCAACAAAAACTGCGCCCGGGACCATAGGGAGGCTTCTCATTTTCAGCCCACAGGTTCCTTCGATCGGCAAGCGATGGAGCTCGAAGACATGACAGATGATGTAGGCAGAGGACTATTGGGCATCAGCCATAATTTTTACAGGTGCGAAAAGTTCTTTTGTGTCAAAGCTCAGCGGAACTGGGCCTTAGTTCTTGATTCCTAACTTATTCAGTGCTTAGAGCATTGCGGATGTACATACATATTGGTGCTCCACTTTTTATAGTAGACCAAGGAAGCGAATGTTTTTCTGTTCATTACTCGAGCAAAGGTCACACGCACGTTCGAGCTTACTCGGTGGTCGAATGATGTCCTCCAAGGGCCCGTCGCGGCCGCTAAGGCAAAGAAGCAGGATGCGAGCGAACGAAGGTCGCCGCGCTTGTGTCCTTTATATTGACATCTTAGAATAGCAGGCCTCATTCACCCTGAGTATGACCGCTACAGTATGCGCTGCGACTCGTCTGCGAGTCGCTTCTTCCTTCGTTTCAGACGCGACGGGCCCCTTGGGGGACACCCGTGGTGCAGCGCGCTGCCACTAACACGGAACGTACGCTGAGATGGAAGGAGTGTAGATCCACGTACCTTAGGATGCTAGCGAAACAGTTGAGTAGTTGAGGAGTCTGAAGTGACATTGGTGCTAACTTAGTTGGGTGGGACCACGCGATAGCGCCGCTTTGCTGGGTTTCCTCGTTTCAGTCCCCGGTGCCTACTGTATGCGAACCTGGCACGATGCGGCGCACTGTGAGGCGCGGCGTTAAGCCAGGCGTTGCTGAAAAGTCGGGCCGCCGCGTGCCTCCCCCCCCCCTAGCCAAGATAGCACCGTGCTGCATCCAGATTAGGGTAGGGATTTGCAGTGTCCACGTTGTGCTTCATTTAGGCGTGCTGCATAAAAATCAGCTTCATGACATAGCTTTGCTTTTAATCTTTCGGAAGGTTCTGACGCAATGGAATGACTGCATCACAACTTCTTGAAAAGCAAACACTCCCATCGGTAGCGCAGAACTGAAGCATGACTCTGAGCTGTCGCAAACTTATTCTTGATTTGGTCGCGCTAGACTTCTTATCCTTCAAAATCGCCGCGCGACTTCCCACCCTACAGTGGCATGGTTTTTAATGGCTCTATACGTTGCATGTCTCTCGAGACTTCTGGGTTGTTGCACATTTCCTTTTCTCATGCTTTGAGTATACTCTTCCTCTGAAGATAAGATACATGTTAAGGTCTCGCCTTGCCAAAGGATTGGAATTCAATGCCGAAACGAACAGCACTGCGCCGGGTGCGGCTGGAATGTTAAAAATGGTATGTTGTCCTAAATAATTGAGAATAGGTCAACAAATCTGGTCATCCTGGAACATTTCGGCAGGGTCGCTGGTTAGAAGAAAGCTCTCCTGTGACGACCGATTTGACGATTAGTGTCCATTGACTTCAGTGGAGGTAGTCAGCGAGGCAAAGATGAAGAAAAGATCAAGGATAACAGCTTACGGTCTAGAACCCGTAAAATGGACCCCAATATTTCCTGTGTCCTGCGTTGGGGTGAGTTTTGTCAGTGCAGTCGTCATGAACGTGGACGCTTTGCTCTGCGGCTCTGCTGAAACGCCCATTTAGAGTCCTACACTGAAGGGGAGGCTAATCCTAGACTGTGGGGCGTCACGAGTGTCGCTGGTACGACCTGCTAGGCCGCTAAAGGCATGCTTTTTTTACGAAGGCCCACCTGCCTTCACCAGATATTTTCCCCTTCTTCGATCCCGACTATCGTGGAATCCCTATTTAGGTTTCCAAAACCTCGCATCCTGGCTTAAACTTTCCCGAATTGGTTGTTCCAATTTCTGCTCCCTACTCCCTTCCATATTTATACCCTTTCTAGGATTGCAGGTTGATTATCGGCCTTAGCCGTGCCGATAATCAACCTCCCAAAATCGGATGTTAGTAAAACTATCAATTTTCAAGAGCTATGACTGCGAATTGGAGAGAAGTGCCCAGTCGTGGGCAGATAAATGCATATTCGAGCACTCGGATAGGAGAGGTCGTCCAAATCAGGGCCAAAATCTTTACATGACTAGCTTCGTGAACCTGGAACCAGCATCTGTGCTACACACGGTGGGTAATAATTTTGTTTACGATTCACCTCACGTGATCACACAAAAATTTTATTTCTTTTCCTGTTGTGGCCATTAGATTACACTACTTTTCCCCATGAGCGTTGGAAAACCTTGGTTCAGGTAGTCTGTTGAAGGGGAGATACGGTACGTAGTTAGGAGCTTCTCCTTATTTAGTGCAGTTCACCTCGGTGGAGTTTCTAATGAAAATGCAGCCCATTAAAAATCAAGGTAGAAGTCCTTAGTGGTGGAAATAGCCTAGAACCCGAGAAGTGGGACCCCTTCTTCGCTCACTGATTCCCTCACTTTCGTCGTTGCTGCCCTCTTCAGCGCTAACGCTCTCTCTCTCTCTGTTAGATGGCTAGAGTCAGGCGGCGAGAAGGTAGGCGTGCCCCGGCGCGAGCTGCGCAGGTAGATGAAGCCAAGAAAGGCGGCTTCGAGCTTGAAAAATCGAAACCTCTTCTTTGTCCGTTTGGGTCACCTATCGGCATGCGAGCAGAAGCGCGAGCGACGCGGATACGGCCCTGCCAGAGCGCTGAGGGCGCACTCTTCGCTACTGAACGTGCATCGTTACCCTCTCAGAAGGCTCATCCATCTTTCCACTTGGTATATTTCCACTTCTTCGATCTCCGTCCTTACGTAAAAACCTCCATTGATTCACAGAGACACAACCCAGGTTTCGTGTCGCTAACTGGCTCTACCTATGTCCTTCCGCGCCGTCTAACCCATCGGCGCTAGGGGAGCGGTTGCTTACCGATGGTGCAACCGCGGTCCCCCCTGTCGCCTTGAGTTTTTCGAGACGAATTCTCCGCTAATTACCAAGAAAAAGATATACTTCTTCCCTCCCACTTTTTCCACAATTGAATATTTGCAGACTACGTAACCACTCTTTGTTCACCATCTGTTTATTAAAATTCCTTTACTTCTTCATGTAAATCCTATTATTTTCCAACGCCATCTTTTTTTGAGGCTATTGAAACTGTGGTGGAAAAGAATTAGAAAGAGTTTTCCGCCATGCCGGCCGATGCCGATCCCTTTCCCGAAGGCCACTTTTGGTTCTTAACTAAAGAACGCTTATTAGGAGCATTTTAACACAGGTGGGCCCACTTTTCTTTACTGAAGGTGCAGACGCCTAATATTCATCTCCCTCGCTCTCGTACTTTACCTCCGATAGCACATCCATTGCTGCAGGATGTGTGTAATGGGAAAAATGTGCAATAAACCAGCCGTTGAAGGACATGAGACACAGGAAAACTAAAAAAAAAACGAATACGTCAAAAAAAAGTCCAATTGTTGTGAAGTACTCTAAAATTGTGTAGATAAACCCCAAGGCTCACCAGTAGATTGAAGATAACTGCCTGCTGCCTCTTGAAGACGGCGCTTATCATGAAGAAAGCGGATCGTCAGTGGCGCAGGAGTGAAGAAAAACGATGAAATACTCTAGAACCCGAGAAATGGGACCCCTCTTCGCTCAGTGATTTCCCCACTGATGCGACCCCTCATCGCTGCTGCCCTCTACAACGCTAACGCTTTCTTTGTTAAAGGGCTAGAGTCAGGCGGCCAAGGTGTAGACGGGCAGCGGTGCGGATATGGCCCAACTAAGCAGATGGGGGCATACTCATTCCTGCGAAAGCGCATCGTTCGGACCCTTAAAGAGCCACCCGTCATTCGGCTGGGTATGTTTCCCTTTCTTCGATCTCCGACCTTATCATGGAATCCTCCCCTCCCAAGACCCTTCGCCGGAATAAATATTAGTCGATAAGCACGTCGGTAAAATGAGTCTGGAAGCGTTTGCTTGTTTTTTTGAGGTTTTTGTCGTTTTCTGAAGACAGAACGAAAAAACTTGAGGAGAAAAATTTTTTGAAAGGCCTCCGCACTCTTGTTTGTACTCATTTTTTGCAAACTTCGTTTTTACTCATATCTTATAATTGTGCATGTGGGCGGAAGTGGTGTAGTGACAAGTGGCACGCTCACCACGCGAGCGGTCCGGGGATCAAATCCTGGGTCGTGAGTCGCCCGGGCCAACCAAGCCTTCCATCCCTCCGGGGTCGGTTAATTGGTACCAGACTTGTCTGAGGATAAAAACACTGACTTGAACATCGGCTGGCCCCCGCAAGTCATTGTATAGGCCACATCGCATTCAAACGCCACTGCGAATGTACAAATGGAAGTAGAATGCGTGCCGCATCCCAAAAAGGGATTGATCAACGGCAAATGCTTTATCCTTTATCCTTTATAAGGTTGTCCAGGCGTAGGTAATTCGTCTTTTGGTTTATTTTCTGCATTGCGGCGGATAGAAACATTGGGCCGGACGGACGAGATGATCAGACGGACGAGTGCTAAACGAACGGAGTTATATAACAGCACCTCGAAAAGTGATATCAGCATTGAGGCGGAGATACGGGTAGAATTGCGAGTAGATGGGGAGGCAGCACTGAAGCTGAATGGCCCCGCTGAAAAACTGATGGAAAAGGTTGCGACACCAAAACGATGCCGCTGTAGCGCCCAGTGGCGTCATAGTGATCGTAAAAATTGACGTACGCCTTAAAAACTAAATCAACCCATAATCCCGAATTTCAGGACGCACGAATTAAGTCCCCCTAGAACCGAAGATTTCAGGGAAAATTAAGATTTTGTCCCGCAACTTCGAACAGTTTGCCCCATGGAGTAGAGCCTGGTTAGGCCTCGATTGTAAACGATTTGGAGGCGATCTTCTTGTCATCGTTCTCGCGAATGGGAAATCCTGTCCCGTAATTGACAATGGGAGACACCAGCTGGTGATGGCCAAAAAGTTACGCACAATGACAATATCGCTACGTTCTCCTCCTTAATCAAACAGTGGACATGGGTCATCCTGGCCCCAATGCTTCTGGCTTGGGTTTTTACTGCCGATAGCAAGATCGGCTGCAAAAATTGCAACGTTGGAGACTTGCTCTGCGAGGAGAACCTCGCTTTCCGTGATAATCACCAGAAACGAGCCCCATTTTCCACGTCTAGCCCTTCTCCAAGCCTACCGAGGACACAGGATGGTTTTGTACCTGACCATGGGCCGGTCCGACAATTTTTTGAAAATCAGGTCAGGATTTGTTTTTTCCCGAACTTTTGGATACAGGGGTAAATCGTTGCGCTGATCACGAATATCGCATTCATTTATGACACCAGCGCCATTTGGCGCCCCTAGGGAGTCAATCTAAGCGGCACACCTTTGTCGCGCCAACCCCAGTCCACCACACTATCCACTAGGCAACCCGGGTAAGCTACCGTTCCAACTGTCCGTCAACGTTCAATAAAACGCCCCGCGCCTTCTTCAGCGCAGCTCGGACACAGCATTCACCTTTCTCCGAACTTTTCCTTCATGCCAATGGACGGTTTAACGGGGATTTCTTCTTGATATGGAAACTATCAACGCCGAGAACGATTTACAGGAAGCAATAAAGGCAGTTCCTATAAGAATTTGTCCTCGCTCCTTTTTTGGTATTCAAAGGGTTGCTCAGGAAACATAAACTACATTTTTGTGTTACATGTAGTGCCCATATACCATGCAAAAACTCAATGTTCGAGAAAGGTGGCAATTTTTCCTCCAACGACCTCCCCTCGTAAGTGTGTTAGGCACTTGAGGAGCTTTCGCTGATAAGAATTTGTGAAGCAGTCCTTTTTACTTAGATCAACTAAATTTACATTTGACTTTTATTATTATTTTGAGCACCATGGTGCGTTGTTTGCGTTTTATCAGAATGCAAGTTAAATAATAGTGAATAATTATGAGAAATAAACCAAACGCTTGATTCGTAAGTACACGGGTTAAGCCAAAAACAATGCGCTTCAAAATATACATCGTTTGTTCTAAAAACGGTTAAAACACACGTTTGAGGAGATTTTTTCTCTGCATCTAACCTCTCTTAACACTTTGGAGACCGCGCGTGTTTTTTACGTTCCGCGGCCGCGCGGGACTTCGGTGAGATTTTTAGGGATCTTATCTAGCAAATTCAAAAGAAGAACCCACTGTGTAATGCAGAAGAAATCTTATCGGATAAAATGGAAAAGAAAATGAATGAAAAACCTAATAATTGTTTCCGCAAATTGCGAGCTGAAAGGTCCTATGCGGTCGAAGGGCTGCAGCCCACATATGGGCTGCCGCTCCAAGGTGTTAAATAACGCCATTAACATAACGTAATTCAGATCTCGAAATGCCCTCCTCGC